TGGTCACAATGTTACAGTATCATTCAACTTTCATCTACCACCACACCTCTCCCTTACTCATAATCTATCTGCTGCAATGGCGGAGAAAATACGTAAATCAGGAGTGGTTTAAGACTGGTCGTATCAGTCTTACACACCTATAAACTGTCCAAAGGTAGCGGACGACTGCTTTACTCTAGGTAAATTCATCTTATGTCAAAGTGGAATTCACTGATGAACTGACTGGTAGCTTTGTCGTCCCAACGATTTAACACATTTAACCAGGCCGGTAAAAAATCGCCCGTTGGTCTAGCATTCCCGGTACACTCATGAACCAATTACGTAAGGGCGCTATAGTGTAGTGGTGATCACTCGGGATTTTGACATCTTTGCTTTCCCGAAACCCAGGTTCGAACCCTGGTAGCGCCTTGCATCGTACGTTCTTGTCTCAATTTTTTTCTTCAGGCATGCAAGGGTCCATCGGTCTCGTATCTCGTATCGGACGAATGCTCAGGAATGGTCAGGACAGCACATCAATGATAGTGTACCTTATTTGCTCATAATAATCAATTGGAAAATGCATCACGATGAATTCTACTACCGTACTGCTTATTCGCGTAGGCCTGGATCTAACCCAGATCACTGTTTGAATGACTCTCTTGCAGTCTACGGAATGTTGAATTGTTTGAGCTTGGTGCTAATTCCCTTAAACGACATTCATGACGTTGAGCATGCGTGTTGTTGCCCTCATCTCTTTTACCGCATTCAAGTGTTTGCAGGAATTTACTAAAAGCAGCCATACGACCGTTTCTGCAGCCATAGTTGACGGAGAGCTAACGAGGACTACTTGGCAAGATACAGAAAAAGGCGTAGTAGTCCTTTTGGAGCAAAACATACAAGAAGGCATGAAGTGTAGGGTCGTTGAAAAAACAAATCGTCTGCAGATGACTGCCGATTTGCTATCTCCGATGTACGTCTGTGCTTCTCTGTTGCATGGGTGTCCATCAGTGCAGTCAATTCGTCGCGTACTCGGACGTTTGCGATGCTGTCATCGGTATGATTCTTGAGCTTTCCTGGTTCCAGAGT